CAACCTGGGCAGAAAAGTCCACCAGACTTCCAGCTACACAGGGAAATAAAAAAAATAAGAGGATCACATTCCAGGTGGATGCCTGGAAAGGGTTGGAGACTCTATCTCAAAATTAACCAACACATCAAGATACATTGTAGTCATAATCTGACTTGCTGAATTAAAACCCCTCCATACAACTACTTGGCTAGCACTCTACCACTTGAGCCACAGCGCCACCTCCTGCTTTTTCTGCTTATGTGGTGCTGAGGAATCGAACCCAGGGCCTCACGCATGCAAGGGCAAGCACTCTACCACTGAGCCACCTTCCCAGCCTCATCTACTTATTTATTTTGGAAGAAGTAGGTTTGCATTCAGGGCCTCACACTTTCTGAGCAATAGTCTTATCACCTGAGACACGCAGGTGTCTGTTCATCCTTTACTTATTTTTTTTTCAGAGAGTCTTGTGGGTGTGTTTTGTTTGTTTTTTTTGGGCAGGTCCCAGACTGAAATCCTCCTACCTGGGTAGCTGGGACCACAGAGGTTGCCACCACAGGCCTGTTTGAGATGGAGGTTCTTGATGACAAGTGGGATTACAGGTGCAAGCTACTATGTACTTTGCTATTTTCTCCCTTCCCTTCCCTTCCATCCTTCCTTCCTTCCCTTCCCTTCCCTACTTCCCTCCCTTTCTATCTGTCGGTGGTGGGGCTTGAACTCTGGGCCTGTGCGCTGTCCTTCAACTCTTCAGCTCAAGGCTAGTGCTCTACCACTTGAGTCACAGTGCCACTTACAGTTTTCTGAGTGGTTTATTGGAGATAGTCTCTGACTTTTCCTGCCTGTGTTGGCTTTAAACCGCAATCCTAGATCTCAGCCTCCGGAGTAGCTAGGATTACAGGCGTGAAACACCGGCGCCCGGCTTGCTAGTTGATAGATTGTGGTCCTGGGGTTAGATCTCAGACCACAGTTGAATTTCCAAACTCCATAACCTAATGAAACACTGTTCACTTTTTATCCTCTGCTCCCTCTACTGTCAGCTTTCCACACAGCAGCCAGTTGCTGATCTCTCTCAGGCAGGTCATTTCTCTGACCAAATCCCTCCAAGGGCTTCCACCACATCCAAAATGAAATCCAAATTCCTTTTCCTGACTTATAAAGCCATACAACAGAGTGTCCAAACTCTCCTAAGTTCTGGGACCTACTTAGAGATGCTGCTTTCATTGCTTTGGGCATTTGTGGGGCATTACACTCTCTTCCCATCCCACTGCCCAGGGTCCTGCCACCGGGGCATAGCCTTGGCCCTCTATTCATGCAGGTCTCTGCACCAACTAGAGGATTTTTCATTGTTTTCAGTAACCATTACATCCCCAGTGCCATCCAACACAAAATAGGAGATCGATAAACATTAAAGGAGACAGTGTTTGTGATTCTCCAGTCGCTGGTCCTGCCTCTTGGACAAAGCACCGTTTTCCATCCAGAAAGCAGGGGTCAGACAGTGACCAGTTGTCTTGGTATAGGAAGATGGCCATGTCATCACCACTTGAGGACACTAGGGAGTAGGCAAGATTGCCAAAGAGTCAATTCCCCCCTCATTAAATTGGGAAGAGTAAATAGCTGAACACAAAGCACATGCAGTCTGCCTCCCAGTTTGAATGCTATGATTCAAAACAGAGGAATGAGTTTCTGATTCCTGAGGAAAAGCAGCCCACAAGGGTGCTTGCAGAGATGTCAGGGTCTTAGCACAGTACACAGTCTAGCAACCCTCAACTCTATTTCATGAGATCCCCAAACACTGAGGAATGGGGAGGGATTCCTCAAACTACCTGCAAGTGACTTCATTTGTACACATACATACACACATGCACACACAAAACAACTCAAATGAGGCAGACAGACACTTTTGGGAACTGTTAAAATTTCCCCCAACTTAGGGAAGCAAGTTCTCCAAGACAGGATAGGGGGGTTGGGAAAGACTGATTTAGGAATTTTTAGGAATTTCCAAGACACCAGGAAGGACTCTAACTTAAAAAAAAAAACCAAAAAAACAGGTATGACCGTGTGCGCCTGTAAACCCATCTACTCTGGAGGCTGAGACCTGGAGCACCCTAGAGTTCAAAGCTAACCCTAGATGAAAAGTCTGTAATACAGATTCCGTCTCTAATTAACCAGCAAAACCTTGACCTGGAGGTGTGGCTCAAGTGGTAGAATACTAGCCATAAAAGAAAGCTGAGTAAGAGGACACGGCCCAGGTACTAATACAAAAACCAAAATAACAAAATTCACACAAAAGGGTTGGGTTGTAGCTCAAGTGAAAAAGCAAGTGGAGGTGGCAACAGAATATGGGGACAGGGTGCTCAGCTCGGAGGGCTTGAGATCCAGGGGATGGGGGTGGTGGTGCGGGAGAAGTCGGAGCATCCCTTAGAGCCAGCTCCCGGTCCCAGTATCTGGGTCTCTAGCCAGAACCCCAAAATCCATTCATTCAAGACCCTGGAAGATGTTGGAATCCGGACAATGACTTGGGATTTCCGAGCAATAACCCTGGCCCTAACTCAACAATCCTATTGACCGCCTCTAATCCACGAAACCCAGGTCAAGACCCCTCCAGTCACAGCCCCACAACGGCCACAGGCCAAGGAGACCGTGACCTCCAAATCCGGTCACAACTCCCCCCCCCCCACCAGGCCTGGGGTCAGAGGTCAGGGGTCAGGATGGATCCTAGGGCCGAACTGGGATCACCATCCCCCACACGAGACCGGATCCCGCGCTCAGAACGCCGGGCCCTAGGCCAAGGCCCCGCCCCTCCGATTCCCGCCCGTCTCCCGGCACCCCTGCCCGGACCCCTGGCCCCAGCTCCGGACCGCACCTGGCTTCATGGTGGTGAGCGCTGAGTTGCTCGGCTCCGAGGAGTTTGTGGCGTCCCGGACTCCACGAGTCAGGAGCAAGCTTTCGCACGTGGAAAGGAGCGCAGGCGCGCGGCAGTGTCCGGCGCGTGACGCAACCACGTAAGTTCCGCCCCCGGCCTCACAGAGCCCGGAACTCAGCGCGCGTGCGCGGCGGGCGGGGGCTCTTGGCCTGGCTAAGCACCGCCCCTTACACTTGTGATTGGTCTTCTCCTCTTAGTGCGTCCCGCAATCCTTAGCTCAAGGCTGCTTCCGGTTTCCCCTTTGTCCCGCCCCTCGCCCTCAACGCGGGCTCTGCGGTGATCCTGTTAGACCTCACCTGTACCCTGGGCTTCTCAGCAATGATCCCCCTACCCTTTATTTCTTTTGTTTGTGCCAGTACTGGGTTTGAACTACTCAAGGCGTGCCATGTGAGCTGCAGGGCCTTTTTTTTAAACTAGTTAATTGGATAAGACTCTTATGGACTTTTCTGTCAGGGTTGGCTTTGAACTATGATCTTCAGATTTCAACCTCCTTTGGATAGCTAGGTGTGAGCCACCGGCGCTCGGCTTTGTCGTTTCACTTTCAAGATTAGAGAAACTGAATCAGACATAACTTGAGTAATTGGCTAGGGCTATCGATGATAAAGCCGAAATCCAGAATCTGTTGATCTGTGTCTTCATCTTCTACTTCTTCCCTCCATCCAGTCAGTCATCTTAATCTATATCCTAATAGATTTTTTATTTTTGGGGGGTCAGTTGTGGGGCTTGAACTCAGGGCTAGGGTGCTCTCCCTGAGCTTCTTTGGCTCAAGGCTAGCACTCTACCCACAGCTAAGCCACAGCTCCACTTCCGGGTTTTTGAGTGGTTAATTAGAGATAGAGTCTCACCCGGAGTCTTCTTTTCTTTTCTTTTTTTTTTGTGGGGCCTGAACTCTGGGCCTGGGCACTGTCCCTCAGCTCTTCAGCTCAAGGCTAGCGCTCTACCATTTGAGTCATAGCGCCACTTCCGGCTTTTTTCTTTTTACTTATGTGGTGCTGAAGAATCAAACCCAGGGCCTCGAGCATGCAAGGCAAGCGCTCTACCACTGAGCCACCTTCCCAGCCCAAAGGGAGGCTTTTTTTTTTTTTGCCAGTCCTGGGGCTTGAACTCTGTGCCTGATCGGCTGTTCAGCTGAAGGCTATCGCTCTACCACTTGAGCTACAGCGTCATTTTGGGTTTTTTGATGGTTTATTGGAGATAAGAGTTTCACGGAGTTTCCTGCTGGCTTTGAACCATGATCCTCAGATCTCAGCCTCCTGAGTAGCTAGGATTACAAGCATGAGCCACTGGCGCCCAGCTTCACCCTGACTTTTCTGCCCAGGCTGGCAAGCCTCAGATCTCATCTTCCTGCGTACTGGGATTACAGGCTTGAGCCACCAGCATCCAGCAATAGATTCTTAATCTAGTCCAATTCTTAATCTATTTCCCTACACTCCACAACACTTATTTCTTCATCTACCTACCTGTGTGTGTACATACCCACTAGTCCTGGGACAGTTGTCCTGAGGTTTTTTTTTTTTTTTTTGCTAGTCCTGGGGCTTGAATTCAGGACCTGGGCAATGTCCCTGAGCTGCTTTTGCTCAAGGATAGTGTTCTACCACTTTAGCCACAGCACTATACTTCCGGCTTTTTCTGTTTATGTGGTACTAAGGAATCGAACCCAGGGCATCATGCATGCTAGGCCAGCACTTTACCACTAAGCTATGTTCCCACCCCCTCCCTGAGCTTTTTTGCTTAAGGCTACCCCTCTACCACTTGAGCCACAGCTTCCTTCTGGCTTAGATCCTCATGAACTTTCCTGCCTGGACTGGCTTCAAATCATGATTCTCAGATCTCATCCTCATGAGTAGCTAGGATTACAGGCATGAACCACTAGCACCAGGCTAACCATGCATCTTATGCATGAATGCATCCATCCATCCTCTCAGCCCCAGTAAAAATCTACACATCCAGGTTCCCCTGCTGTGTAGGAAGGAAATCAGAGATGGTACAGAATGAGACAGACACACTGGCATGCAGCTTGACTGGAGATATTTACTCAATGCTCTTACATTTGGTCTCAGTAGTTTGGCAGAGGGGTAGCATGTGGAGTGGGGAAGGGGGACATACAAGGACAATCTTCAACCATTGTGACCTCTAGGGAAGTCAGGTCTTGAAATCTTCATTTCTGGTCCATAAAGCCTTCATTGTCCATGAATGATTCCTCAGTTGTAACTGCAAGGGACAGATAATCAGCACCTTATCTTACCGACATTTCCCCATCCCAAACTGCCCCCCCACTTGTCCATGAGGACTCAAGGGTCCCTGTCCCCACGAAGCCACATCCCTTACCACATTCCTTACCATGGAGAGAAGTCTGGTGCTCTCCATTTCTCCATCACTGTCTTCCCCAGGGAGTTGGGCAAGTCATTGTTCTGGTCCCCATCAAAGTTTCCACAAGCCCCACACAGCAGGCCAGTATGGCTGTCACTGATCATCACCGCCAGCTGCCCATTGGTTCCAAGCCTCACCTGGACCCCTTCCTTCTGGTGGACTAGTATAGAGTCAGGGGACTGGCTCACAGACACAGATGACATATTAGCTGGAAGATCCACCTGGAGACCATTCACCTGGTGATGAAGAAGAATGTGAGGACAGAGCCACTGGAGAACTGGAGGGTTTCCAGCATGGAATGCCCAAGCACCAAGTTCAAGGTGCTAAAGCAAAGCAGGAGGTGCTGAAAGAGATGGAGACCTGGAGAAATGCACCATATGGAGAGGCAAGCTCACACTTAATTGAACTCAGGGCCTGGGACCTCTTTCATAGCTTTCTTTTTTCTTTTGTGCAAGGCTGTGGCTCTACCACTTGAGCCACAGCTGCACTTTGGGGTTTTTGGTGTTGATGAAGTCTCAGACTTTCCTGCTCAGGCTGGCTTCAAATCATGATCCTGAGATCTCAGCCTCCTGAGTGGCTAGGATTACAGGCACGAGATACCAGTGTTGGGCTTTGTATTATTTTTTGTCAGCTTCCAGGGTCCATTTGCATGTATTGATGACTTTGTAAGGATTGCAAATTATAATATCTAAATTGCCCTTAGTAGAAAAAGGTTCCCTAGGCCATGTGCTGGTGGTTCACACCTGTAATCCTAGCTACTCAGGAGGCTGAGGATCTGAGGATCTTGGTTCAAAGCCAGCCCAGACAGGAAAGTCTGTGAGACTCTTATTGCCAATAAACTACAAGAAAACTGGAAGTGGTTCTGTGGCTCAAGTGGTAATTCACCTTGAGCTGAAGAGCTGAGGGACAGCGCCCAGGCCCAGAGTTCAGGCCCCACGACCAGACCCCCCCCCCAAAAAAAGGAAAGATCTTGGGTAAATCCCTGGTGGGTCATGTGACTTCAGCCTTACCAATTACATCATTGAGATGATAAGACCACCAATAATTCGTTCTGCCAGTGGTCATGTGATCCAAACTGGCCCCAGTGAGAAGTAATACCATGCATTGGTTGGACCACTTGCTACTGAGGTGCTAAGACTAGTGGAATGTTATGCTTGGGACAAAGAAGGGGATTATCTCTGTGCCTGTGAAAAGAGAGCTTGTCTGAGAATGAAGCTGACTGAGTGGACAAGAAGTCTAGAAGATGGAAGCACAACCTGGAACTATTCTCAGCGTACCCGGATCCAGTCATTCCAAAGGCTCTATCTTAGGATGCTCTAGTTATATAGACTAATGGATTTATCTTTACTTAATTCAATTTGAAAGTCGTTTTCCGGGGCTGGGAAGGTGGCTCAGTAGTAGAGCGCTTGCCTTGCATACCTGAGGCCCTGGGTTTGATTCCTCAGCACCACATAAGCAAAAAGAAAAAAGCCGGAAGTGGTGCTGTTGCTCAAGTGGTAGAGTGCTGGCCTTGAGCTGAAGAGCTGAGGGACAGCGCCCAGGCCCAGAGTTCAGGCCCCACAACCAGACCAAAAAAAAAGTAAATAAAAGAAGAACTGTTATAGCTAAAAGTCCAACAACAACAACAAAAAAAGAAAGTCGTTTTCTGTGATTTGTAACGATCAGAGTCTTGGTGAATACTAATACCAAAACTATTCCATTACTTGAGAATCTACTTGCTCCTCAAGGACTCAGCCTGAACAGAGGGACGAATTCTGAAATATTGAGACAGGTACACAAATCCAGAGATCAAATTACAGAGTTCTGGCTAAGAAAAACAGATAGCAGCCAGGTGCCAGTGGCTCACGCCTGTAATCCTATCTACTCGGGAGGCTGAGATCTGAGGATCCCAGTTCAAAGCTAGCCTAGACAGGGAAAGGCCATGAGACTGTTGTCTCCAGGTAACCACCAGAAAACTGGAAGTGGCACTGTGGCCCAAAGTGGTAGAGTGCTAGCCTTGAGCTGAAGAACTCAGGAACAGCGCCCGGGCCCTGAGTTCAAGCCCTGTGACCAACAAAAAGAAAAAAAACAGCAAGTCAACCAGGTAACCAGGAATACAGGACACAATGAGAAAAGCAAAAGCCCAGGGGAGACATTTGCACCTACCCATGACCATACTTACCCACACGCCTTTGTGTGGAGTTACCGTGACCAGCCCTTCCTGGAAAAAGATGTGAACTTCACCCACAGTTTGCACATTGTCCTGGCAAGACTGCACATCAATAACTACCCGGTACCAGGGAATGTTCTGTAGTCCCGGGCAGAGGGAAGAGAGCTCATAAAATCCAGAAGAGCTGATGGCACCATAGGCTCCATCGAAGGTGGTGAGGTTGGTACCCAGGGAGACGGAACAGAGACCACGGGCAGGCCAGCAATCGTGAATACCCTCCTGGATCTCACAGACATGGCCTGATGGGCAGCCAGCCTCCTGGCATGTAAGGACTGCACTTGAGGAGCAGGAACAACGCTGGCTGCAGTCTTCAGTCAGCAGTGAGGAGTTCATCTGTGTGCAGAAAGGACCTGGTGAGAGCCACTCGGCGATGGCAGTGAGTCTTCAAACCCTGTGTATTCACACAGGCAGGAGTTGGGAGCAGACTCTTGGTTAGAAATGGACTATGGCGGGGCTGGGAAGGTGGCTCAGTGGTAGAGCACTTGCCTTGCATACATGAGGCTCTGGGTTCGATTCCTCAGCACCACATAAGCAAAAAGAAAAAAAGCGGGAAGTGGTACTGTGGCTCAAGTGGTAGAGCACTCGCCTTGAGCTGAAGAGCTGAGGGACAGTGCCCAGGCCCAGAGTTCAGGCCCCATGACCAGACCCCCCCCCAAAAAAAAAAAGAAAAGAAAAAAAGAAAAAGAAATGGACTATGGCTGGGCGCTGGTGGCTCACACCTGTAAACCTAGCTACTCAGGAGGCTGAGATCTGAGGATGGCCGTTCAAAGCCAGCCTGGGCAGGAAAATCCATGAGACACTTAAATCTCCAATTAACCACCAGAAAACCAGATGTGGCACTATTGCTCAAGGGGTAGAGTACTCGCCTTGAGCTGAAGAGCTCAGGCACACCGCCCAGACCTAGAGTTCAAGCCCCACAAGCAACAAAAACAAAAACTAACAAAAAGAAATGGACTATGTTAACTAGGTGCAGGTGACTCATATCCTAGCTACCCAGGAGGCTGAGATTTGAGGATTGTAGTGTGAAGTCAACCTAGGCAGGAAAGTCCGTGAGACTCTTATCTCCAATAAACAGAAAACAGGAAGTTGCACTGTGGCTCAAAGTGATAGGACATCAGCCTTGAGTGAAAGAGCTCCGGGACAGCTCTCAGGCTCTGAGTTCAAGCCCATGACTGACGAAAGGAAGGAAGGAAGGAAGGGATTTTGTTGAAAATGAGCTATGCAACTTGGTGGGGACAGGAGGGAAAAGGTGGGAGAGAACCAGGGAAGGGATGACATTTTCCAAAAAGAAATGCACTGTTTACTTGACTGATGGAATTCTACCCCCTTTGTATATCACCTTTATAATAACAAGAAGAAAAAAAAGAAATAAAGTGAGATGCTAAGTGCTGGTGGCTCATGCCAGTAATCCTAACAAATCAGGAGGCTGAGATCTGAGGCTCACTGTTCTAAGCCAGCCCTGGCAGACAAATCTGAGAAACTCTTATCGCCACTGCACCAACAAAAAGCTGGAAGTGGAGGTGTGGTTCAAGTAGTACATCACCAGGCTTGATGCTGATTTCTCACCTGTAACCTCCAAAACTGGGGGAGGGGGTGTGGGAGGAAAAGGGATGGAAGTGGGTGCCATGTCCCTTGTTTTCAGCTACCAAGTCTGGGATGATTAGCTGAGAAATTACTACAGGGCAGATTTACCCACCTTGAGTCATCTAGCTGGGACATAGGGTAGCTCTCCTAGCTCCATTCTTGAATAGAAACTTAATCCCAGATGTGAGTCCCCTTTAAGCTCCTCCCACCACGGGACCCACCCCCAGCCCCTGCTCACCGGCAGATAGTGGCCATTATGAGCACAGCCACATTCTTGGACAGGGATGCAGACACCCTGGGAGAGCAGGAAGCGGTCGTCACACTCACAACCCTCAAAGCAGAGAGAGGAGCAGCCAGTGAGGCCAGAGAGAGCAGCACAGGAGCCCTGACAGGAGCGAGTGCACACGGAGTAGTGGCTGTGGTCGGGGCACTGGAGAGCTGCAGAGAAAAAAGGTAGGATGGGGTCACCACGCTGCAAGCGCAGCGAAAAAAGTAATGGAAGCTTGGGTGCTGGTGGCTCACATCTGTCATCCTAACTACTCAGGAGGCTGAGACCCAAGGATCGGGGTTCGAAGCCAGTCTAAGCAAAAAAGTCTATGAGATTCAATCTCCAATGAATCATCAAAAAGCCCGAAGTTGCCTGGCCTTGGTGGCTCAGGCCTGTAATCCTAGCTACTCAAAAGGCTGAGATCTGAGGATCACGGTTCAAAGCCAGCCTGGGCAGGAAAATCCACAAGACTCTTAACTCCAATTAATCACAGAAAAACCTGGAAGTGGCGCTGTGGCTCAAGTGGTAGAGCACTAGCCTTGAGCAAAAGGAGCTCAGGGGCAACACCCAGGACCAAAGTTCAAGCCCTCGGACCAGCAAAAAACGAGAACAAAAACAAAAACAGAAGTGAAGAGGTGACCTGGTCCAAAAATCAAGGTATTCTTTATCTGACTTATGTATACCACCTTTATACAAACAACAACAAAAGAAAGTCAGAAGTTGGAATTGTGGCTCAAGTGGTAGAGCACTAGCCTTGAGCACAAAAGCTCAGGGACAGAGCAAGAGGGGGTGTGCGTGTACTGTATTATATCTGGAAGTCTAATCTCTGTACCTTCCCTCCACTGGAAAGGGTGGTAAGACACAGACAAAGGCTTTTATGTGGGTTCCAGGGTACCCCAACTTCTCACAAGTTACCACAGAAAGAACTGGGTTGATCCCTAAGGAGAGAAGTCAAGGTTGAGGTTTGGGGACAATGGGCTACCAGAGGAAGGGACAGCCCCCGAGTGGCAGGGAGGTGGCCTCTGAGGGGCCCATGGACACTCACGGCAGAAGCTGTCTGTCCTCCAGGGTTTCACAGTGGCACCAGCTGCCTGGCAGGCGGCCGTGTAGGCTGCCAGGCTGCGGCAGAGAAAGGCCACGTCGCCCTGGTGGGCACACTGGTCGTACACGCACTGGCGGAAGTATTCTGTGGGATTCACCACTCCGTGACAGGCTGCAAAGGGGCCTTTGGGGTCACGGAGCTTCCCACAGGCCTTGTTGTCCTCGTACTTTGCTGTCTCCTCTGCCAAGCACACGGGGCAGCCTTTGGGTCCACAGCCCTCGCTACAGCCCTCGACAGAGCCGGGCACGCGCCATGATTCTGCAAAAGCCTCCACACTAGGGGACATCGTGCCATTGGGGAACCTGAAGTCATCTGTCCAGTTGCTGTTGAAGTTCCCACAGAGGCCGCAGACCCGTCCATGGAAGGGGCTGGGGATGGAGATGAGGATGTGGGCATCTCCATCAAAGAGGAGGCGCAGCCCCTTGTTTGTCTGGAGAATCATGTTGCGGCCTTCTGCAGTCACTCGCACGCTACCCATGGCCACAGGCAGGGTCACCAGCTGGCCATCTATGGTGACCTGAATGAGTAGAGAGTCACAGATCATTCAGGTCAGGCTGTCCAGCATGAAGCTTGAGACATCTCCTATCCCCAGGGAAGAACTTCAAGCCATAGTTGTACCCCAACTTTTAATGTAGGTTAAGGTCATGTTAAAAATCCCAAAGTAGGGGCTGGGAAGGTGGCTCAGTGGTAGAGCGCTTGCCTTGCATGCCTGAGGCCCTGGGTTTGATTCCTCAGCACCACATAAGCAGAAAAAGCCAGAAGTGGCGCTGTGGCTCAAGTGGTAGAACATTAGCCTTGAGCTGAAGAGCTGAGGGACAGCGCCCAGACCCAGAGTTCAGGCCCCACGACCGGACCCAAAAAAAAAAAAATCCCAAAGTAAGCCAAGCACCGGTGGCTCATGCCTGTCATCCTAGCTACTCAGGAGGCTGAGATCTGAGGATCGTGGTTCAAAGACAGCCTGGGCAAGAAAGTCCACAAGACTCTTATTTCCAATTAACCACCAGAAAACTGGTGCTGTGGCTCAAATAGTAGAGCACTAGCCTTGAGCTGAAGAGCTGAGGGACAGCACCCGAGGCCAGCGTGTCTCCCCCCAACCCCAATCCCAAAACAGTGTCAAAGTTCACTCACTTGCTGTCCTTTAGCCAGAGTCACAACCTGGTCGTTCACAGTCACCAGCACACGTTGGGGCTGGCCAGCCGAGTCCTTCTCTAACACGATGGCAAAGGTCTCCTCTCCAGGTTTGGGTTGACAGACTTGGGCCAAGACATAGGAGCAAGAGCCGTGCAGGTCATAGACACGCCCATCCAGGGTGACGTAATGGATTCCCTCATTGGCCAGACAGCGGCCACAGCCCGTAGGATGGCAGGCCTGCACGCCTTCCTCTACCCGGCACTCTTCATAGGGACCACAGGCCTCACCCTCCTGGCAGCTGACCTTGCCCCCTGGTCCGCATTCACAGCGCCGCTCGCACTCAGGGCCCGGGTAGAAGACTGAGCCGAGCGGGTAGTAGCGGCCACCATGGAGACAGCCACACTGGCTCACTGGCACACAGGTGTCACCACTGAGCACGAAGCCGGCATCACAGGCACAGCCTTCACGGCAGGTGGGCTCACAGCCCTCGGGCGCAGAGAGGCTGGGGCAGCTCACTGGGCAGGAGTTACCACAAAGCTCATAGTGGCTGTTGGCAGGGCACTGGAGAGCTGTGGATATATGACAGGTACAAAGCAGGTGCACAAGTGAGACAAGCATAGGTCCCTAATGGGATACCCTGTCTGGACCAAGTGTGGAGGGGGATCCAGAGCATCTCATGGGGGGATTCAGTATGGGGGTGGTAAGACATGACCAGATCTCCTCGACCAGATGTGTGTTAATTTGACCAAGTACCTCGTGTGTGTGTGTGTGTGTGTGTGTGTGTGTGTGTGTGTGTGTATGTGCTGGTCCTGGGGCTTGAACTCGAAACCTGGAAGTGGCCCTGTAAGCAATGGATTACTAGCCTTGAACATAAAGAGGCTCAGAGACAGTGTCCAAGCCCTGAGTTCAAGCCCTAGAACTTGAAAGAAATTTAGAAAGAGAGAAAGAGGAGAGAGAGAGAGAGAGTGAGAGAGAGAGAAAGGAAGGAAGGAAGAAGGGAGGAAGGAAGAAGGGAGGGAGGGAGGAAAGAAGAGAGGGAGGAAAGGAGAGAGGGAAGGAAGGAGGGAGGAAGGGAGGGAGGGAGGGAAGAATTAAATGACTGTGCCTCTTGAGTTGAATAGGCAGGATTCAAACTAGCCATAGCTGTCTCAGGGTCTGACTGTGATCAAGGAACCAGTCAGCCTGAGTGTACCTGGCTGTGGTATCTGACAAGACCTGGAAAACCTGTCAGATTCTGATAAAGCATTTTTCAGGCAAAGACTGATATTTATGTACCTGATTAGGTGTAAACTTGACCTAGTAGATCTGCCTGAAGAGAATTTCCCAGGAAAATGTGTGTAGTTCTTTCCCAACGCTGGTCCTGGATCTACCTGAGTGTATCCAACCAGTTGGCGGTTTTTGTTTTCTGTTGTTTTTTGTTGTTGTTGTTTTGGACGTGTGACTTGAACTCTGGGCCTAGGCACTGTCCCTCAGCTCTTCAGCTCAAGGCTAGTGCTCTACCGCTTGAGCCACAGCGCCGCTCTGGTTTTCTGGCTTATTGGAGAGAAGAGTCTCACAGATTTTCCTGCCCGGGCTGGCTTTGAACTGCGATCCTCAGATCTCAGCCTCCTGAGTAGCTAGGATTACAGTCGTGAACCACCAGTGCTGGGCTCCAGTTGGTGTTATTAAATGTACAGTCTAGGGCTGGGAAGGTGGCTCAGTGGTAGAGCACTTGCCTTGCCCTGGGTTCGATTCCTCAGCACCACATAAGCAAAAAGAAAAAAGCTGGAAGTGGCGCTGTGGCTCAAGTGGTAGAGCGCTAGCCTTGAGCTGAAGAGCTGAGGGACCATGCCCAGGCCCAGTGTTCAGGCCCCACGACCGGACCCAAAATAAATAAATAAATAAATGTACAGTCTACCCAGAGAACACTGGTACCTAGCTGATGATGGGTAACCAACTGTATCCCAGTGTGTGAGACAGTTACAGGACATCAGAGCAGGTAAGCTCCTTGCTGTGTGACTTTGATTGGATCACCACCATGTCTGAGGTCACTGAGAGATGAAGCATGAATCCCCAGAGAGGGGGTGTGTGTGGGGGAACTAGCCCAGGGTTTCTGATCAGGTCAGTCTGAGTGAACTCCTCCTACTGGGTTACCACACCTGGCCATATCTCAGTGTGTGTCTGTGTCAGGTGTACCTGTTCAGGGCAATAAGGATGGGCCCCCAGCTCCATGGTGGTGGTGGGGACGTGGGGGATTCTCGCCTCATAGTCCTGAGATGGGGAAAGATGAACCCCCACCACCACCACACACAAATACACAGATCAGTACTCACGACAGAAGTCTGGCCGCCTCCACTCGTCAATCTGGGCCCCAGCGGCCTGACAGGCTGCCACGTAAGTGGCCACAGCAGGACAGAGGCCTCCGGGATGGCCCTGAGCCTGGCAGGCATCCAGCAAGCAAGCCTCTAAGTACTGCTCAGGTGGCAGGAGGCTGTGGCACGGTGCTAATGGGCCTTTGGGGTCCGAGATGACACCGCAGGCGTCGGGACCACGGAAGGGCTCCAGTTGCTCCGGTGTGCAGGTTGGGGGACATGGCCCGGGCACGCATTCTCCGCAGCCTGGCTGGCCCCCTACTTGCCAACCGCTTGGGTCCCCGCCTACGGCTGTCAGGTCGTCTGCCGGGTCCTTGTTGTAGTTCCCGCACAGGCCGCAGAGGGCGCCCGCGTACGCCGCGGGCACGCGCAGGCGCACGAAGTTGTTGCCGTCGAAAGTCAGCGAGAGCCCAAAAGTTGTGGTGACCACCACATCCCTGCCGCTCAGGTAAGCGTGCAGGCGAGAGTCCAGCTGGAAGGGCAGATCCACCAGCTCGCCGTCCACCTGCCGGGGAAGGGGATTGTCTCTACCACTCAGGAGCTATGGGATCTCCCCCCACCCCCACAAGAGGTGTCCTCCCCTGTTACTATATTAATATAAAAAAGTTGGAAGTGAAGCTGTGGCTCAAAGTGGTACAGTGCTAGCCTTGATCAAAAAGAGCTCAAGGACAGCACCCAGGATATGAGTTCAAACCCTACGACTGACAGAAATAAATAAAAAGTTGCTGGGTGCTGGTGTCGCACGGCGGTCATCCTAGCTACTCAGGAGGCTGAGATGTGAGGATCTCAGTTCCAAGCCAGCTTGGGCAGGAAGGTCCATGAGATTCTTATCTCCAATTAACCACAGAAGTGGTGCCATGGCTCAAAGTGGTAGAGCAAGTTGGACACCAGTGGTTCAGGCCTGTATTCCTAGCTACTCAAGAAGCTGAGATCTGAGGATCGCAGCTCAAAGCCAGCCCAGACAGGAAAGTCCTGGAGGCTCTTACCTCCAATTAACCACCAGAAAAATGGGAAGTGGTGCTATAGCTCAAGTGGTAGAGCACTGGTCTTGAGCTGAAGAGTTCTGGGACAGCTCCCAGAGTTCAAGCCACATGACGGACAAAAAATAAAAAGTGGTGGAGCACTAAGCCTTGAGCAAAAAAGCTCAGGAGCAGTACCCATACCCCTGAGTTCAAGAGCCACCAAAATAATAATAATAATAATGGTAATAGTAACAATGTAATAATAATAATAAAGCACCTATAGACATAGTGTCATTTACCCCATGCTACCCTGAAGCAGGTACTTTATGAAGACCATTTCCAGAGGAATAAGTCAAGGCTAAGAGAAACATATATCACTGCTCTAAGCCCTATAAATAGGCCTATAGTGTGAGCTTCGAAAGATGCTTCAGTTAAAACTGTGAAAGGGCCAAGCACCATGACTATAATCCTAGCTACTCAGAAGACTGAAATCTGAGGATTGTGATTGAAAGCCAGCCCAGGCAAGAAATTCTATGGGACTCATATTTCCACTAAACTACAAAGAAAAGCAAAAACAAAAACAAACCCAGCTGGGCACTGGTAGCTCACACCTGTCATCCTAGCTACTCAGGACGCTGAGATCTGAGGATCACAGTTCAAAACCAGCCCGGGCAGGAAAGGCTGTGAGACTCTTATCTCCAATAAACCACCAGAAAACCAGCAGTGGTGCTGTGGCTCAAGTGGTAGAGTGCTCACCTTGAGCTGAAGAGCTGAGGGACAGCACCCAGGCCCAGAGTTCAAGTCCCCTGACCAACAACAACAACAAAAAATAAAAATAAAAACATAACAAAAACAAACCAAAACTCAGAAGTGGAGCTGTGGCTCAAATGGTAGAGTACTATAGCCTTGAGCATAAGAAGGGCAGGGACAGAGCCCAGGCCTTGAATTCAAGCCCCAAGATAGGCACCAAAATAAAAAAAATAACTATAAAAGGAGGAATTGCCCAATCTTTACAGCCTCCTGCACCCCACAGCTGGCAGCCCTTCTGCATTGGGGGAGGGGGAATGGGGGTGGGGGGGAAGCAGCTCCCTCACCTGTAGCTTTTGGGGCCAGAGGGCGCTGAGGGTCAGACTATGGCCGTAGATTTGCAGACTGACACTGCGGGTGTAGCTGACAGCCTGGCTGCCCCGGTGCTCGTTGACGACAGTGACATTGAAGTCCACGGTGCCCTCGGGTGCTTTGTGGCAGGGCGCACTCAGAAGATACTCACAGTTGCCCTGGAAGTCGAATCGGTGCCCATCCAGGGTCATGTAATGGGGGTCACCCCAGGCCTGGCATTCAACAGTGCTGGTGGGTTGGCAGCCATACTGGCCAGAGGGCAACAAGGCACACTCTTCACCTGGCCCACAGCTGGCAGAGGTACAGACCAGCGAGCCGCTCCCTGATTCACAGCGGCACCGCCGGGAGCAGGTGGCATCGGCCCAAAAGTCAGTGCCTGCCTCGTGGTAGGTACCATTGTCCCAGCAGCCACAGCCGCCCTCCAGGGGGACACAGTGGTCAGCACTCAGGACGAAGCCCTCATCACACTGGCAGCCCTCGGTACAGGGACCCTCACACACAGCTGGAGTCGTGAGTCGTGCCGGGGGTGGGCAGCTGGCCGGGCAGGGCGGCCCACAGAGTTCGTAGTGGCTGTTGTCTGGGCAGGACATCTCTGTGGACAGATGAAGGGATGGAAGGGAAAGAAAGGGAAAGGGTATGAGATGGAGTCTGGATAAGATGGCAAGAGAGAGAGGGGAGGGAGAAGCACAGGGGAAGGGGGAGAGAGAGGGAGAGAGAGAGACAGAGAGACAGAGAGAGAGAGCGCGCAAAAGAAGAGACATTGACAGACAGAGGCCCAAACAGTGATACAGGACAGACAGAAAACACGAATGAGAAACAGAATGACAGATAATCAAAAGAGAATGGAGAAATGTCAAGACAAATAGACACAAAGCAGCAGAAAAGTTGGGTGCTGCTGGGTCACGCCTGTAATCCTAGCTACTCAGGAGGCTGTGAGCTGAGGATCAAGGTTCAAAGCCAGCCTGAACACGAAAGTTCTGAGACTCTTATCTCCAATGGACCACCAGGAAACTGGAAGTGGTGCTATAGCTCAAGTGGTCGAGTATTAGCCTTGAGCAAAAGAAGCTCAGGGTCCTGAGTTCAAGCCTGACAACCAACAACAACAAAAAAGCAGCAGAAAGATGCCAGACACTGGTTACTCACACTTTGTAATCCTAGCTCCTCAGGAGGCTGAGATCTGAGGATTTTGGTTCAAAGCTATCTTAGATAGATAAATCTGAGATATTCATCTACAATGAACCAGCAAAACATTGGAAGTGGGGGGTGTGGTTTAAGTGATAGAGTACCACAGTTTCTATTTTTTTTTGGGGGGGGGTCCGGTCATGGGGTCTGAACTCTGGGCCTGGGCACTGTCCCTCACCTCTTCAGCTCAAGGCTAGCGCTCTACCACTTGAGCCACAGCGCCACTTCTGGCTTTTTTCTTTTTGCTTATGTGGTGCTGAGGAATCGAACCCAGGGTCTCAGGCATGCAAGGCAAGCACTCAACCACTGAGCCACCTTCCCAGCCCTGTTGTTTTTTTTAAGTCAGTTGTGGGGCTTGAACTCTTGGCTTGGGCACTGTCCTGCAGCTCAAGGCTAGTACTCTACCACTTGAGCCACAGCACCACTTCTGGTTTTCTGGTGGTTAATTGGAGATAAGAGTCTCATGGACTTTCCTACCTGGGCTGGCTTTGAACCGTGATCCTCAGATCTCAGCCTCCTGAGTAGCTAGAATGACAGGCATGAGACACTGGTGCCCGGTCTAGAGTACCAGTCTTAAGTAAGAAGGAGAGACCCTGAGTTTGTGCCAGTACTGGAACAAACAAACAAACAAACAAAAGCAGAAAGACACCCTCCCCTTCCCTCCTGCAAGGGACTAAAGTAAAACCTAACGGGTCCCACAGAAAGGAGACTGACTGCACCCTCAGACTTGGCTTCCTCTCCCCAGCAACTCACCACAGCCGGCCTGGGTCCTCCAGTCCTTGATGGTGATACCTGCAGCCTGGCAGGCGGCCGCATAGGCAGCCAAGGCCTGACAAAGTATATCTTGGACTCCTCCACCCAGGCAGACATCTAGAACACAGCCCTTAAAGTAGTCTTCAGGCGGCACATGGGAATGACAGGAGGCGAAGGGGCTGCTTGTGCTAGTTGGGTTTAGGGGGCCACAGAAGGCAGGACCCTCATATTTCTCCAGCTGGTTCTCAGGGCATGTTGGGCAGGAGCCGTGGCATTCATGCCAGCAGAATGGGTCCCAGCCTGGAACTTGCCAGCTGCCGCCCCAAGTGGGTATGGATGGAGCCACTGTGCCATTGGGGAAGATCTTATCGTTGCTGGGGTTTTGGTCCATATCCCCACAGAGCCCACACACTGCTTCATAGTAGCTGCTGGTCAGTGTCACCTCTACCCGCCAGTTCCAGTCATAGGTGACTTGAAGTCCAAAGTCAGTTGCCAGAACAGCCTTGGACCCACCATGGGTCACCAAAATCCGTCCACCAGCCACAGAGACCGGCAGGGCTGTCAGCACACCGTTCACCTGGAGGAGGGAGGGAGGCAAATGGGGGTCCCATGAGGTAAGGGTGGAGCTCTCCTTCTTTCCCTCCTCCTTCCTTCCTTCCCTCTCCTTCCTTCATTTCCTTCTTCCTTCATCCTGCCAGAGACCAGGAATTACCTATAGCTTTCTCATGATTGATAGTTGTACCAACATTGTATAAAAATTAGGGATGTGCCAGTTGCCAGTGGCTCATATTTATCATCCTGCCTACTCAGGAGGCTGAGATTTGAGGATCATGGTTCAAAGGCAGCCCCAGCAGAAAAGTCCCTATGAGATTCTTATCTCTAATTAACCACCAGAAAACAGGAAGTAGTGCTGTGGCTTAAGTGGTAGAGCACTAGTCTTGAGCAAAAGATCTCAGGGACAGTGCCCAGGCCCAGAGTTCAAGGCCCACGACCAACAAAAAATAAATAGGGCTGGGAATGTGGCTTAGTGGTACAGTACATGAAGCCCTGGGTTCAATTCCTCATACCACATAACAGAAAAAGCCTGAAGTGGTGCCATGGCTCAAAAAAATAGTAATAAAATAAATAAATAAATAATTTTTTTTAATTGGGGATATCTGTTCTTATTCAAGCTCTGGGAACTGAGACCTCTTATTTGATCTCTCTGTCTCTTTGCCTCTGCCTGCCTCTGTGTGTGTGTGTGTGTGTGTGTGTGTGTGTGTGTGTGTGTGTGCTCGCATTTCTCTCTCTGTCTTGCCAGTACAAAGGCTTGAACTCAAGGCCTGGGCACTGTCCCTTAGCGTTTTGTTCAAGATTGGCACTCTAACACTTGAACTAGGGGGCTGGGAAGGTGGCTCAGTGGTATAGCGCTTGCCTTGCATGCATGAGGCCCTGGGTTTGATTCCTCAGCACCACATAAGCAAAAAGAAAAAAGCCGGAAGTGGCGCTGTGGCTCAAGGGGTAGAGCGCTAGCCTTGAGCTGAAGAGCTGAGGGACAGTGCCCAGGCCCAGAGTTTAGGCCCCACGACTGGACCCAAAAAACAAAAAACACTTGAACTACACCTCCGCTTCCAGCATTTGGTTGCTTATTGGAGTCTCATGATTTGCCTGCCCTAAGCTGGCTTAGAACCACAGTCCTCAGATCTCAGCCTCTTGAGTAGCCAGGATTACAGGCTGGCACCATTAATGTCCAGCTTGATTCCCCCCACCTCTGCTCTTTCTCCCTAGATCTCTGTATGTCTGTGCACCCGCATTTCCTCTCTAGGTCTCCGACTCTCTCTCCCTTCCCGCTACCCTGTCATACTGGAGCCTCTCTCTGGTCAGGCATCTCCCCTCACTCATGACCGTACAGTGGCTGCCTATCCCATCCTGCCCAGCCTCCTTCCCTCTTTGCTGCTGTTAGCCTGTCTCTCCACTTCTGTGGGCATCTTCCCCACTTTCTTGCTTCTCATTAGTTTCCTCCTTAACACCCACCAATGTTCACTGGGGTATCACTCAGAGCTGAGTCCTTCACTGATACCACTTTGCTGTGGGGGCAGGGACTGCTTCGGATGCCCACTTCCCAGATGTGGACACCGAGCCCTATCAAGTTAAGTCACCTGCCTATCATCATAGAGCTTCTAAGGAGGAGACTGAGATCCAGGGATCACAGTTCAAAGCCAACAGGGGCAAGAAAGTCCATGAGACACTCATCTCCCATTAGCCACAGAAAGCCAAAAGGGAGCCAGGTGCTGGTGGCTCGTGCCTGTCATCCTAGCTACTCAGAGATGTGAGGATCAAGGTTCAAAGCCAGTACAGGCAAGAAAGTCCCCATGAGACTCTTATCTCCAGTGAACTACCAAAAAAACCGGAAGTGGCTCTGTAGCTCAAAGTGGAAGAGCACTAGTCTTGAGCAGAAGCGCTCAGGGACAGCGCCCTGGCCCTAACTTGGCTCAGTTTCCTGGGAAGAGATGCCTGGGTTGCTGTGATCACCATTGCCTTTGCTGCTCTGTGGTTCCAGGCCTAGATGAAGAAGAGCTCTGAGCTTGTTAACTATGGCTGTCAGGACTCAATTTGCCCCTCTGGGACCACCCTGCTAGACGTACCCGGACTTTCCCGATCTCGTTCTTGTGGATGGAGATGTTGACTCCTAGGGTGGACACGGTGACCTGCTTGACATAGGACACGGAGGGGCTGCCCCGGTTCTCGTTCTTGGTGGTGATGGTGAAGGGCGTCAGGCCCTGGGCGCTGACCCCTGGGCAGAAGGTGGTTGCCAGGACATAGTCACAGGTGCCCTGGAAATCAAAGCTCCAGCCGTCGAAGGAATGGTAGTGAGGATCACCCCATAGCCAGCACGTGGAGTTGTAGTTGGGTACGCACACGCCCTGGCCGTTTTGGTCTTTGCATGTTTCTTGTGGCCGGCAGGTTACCCCATGGCATGGATCTGAGGGGAGTGGGGGGCAGAGAAGAGAAGGTGTTGATGGGCTGCCTACCCTAAGAATGGCTGTTAGCACTCAGGCATCGGTAGCACACACTTGTAATCCCAGCTACTCAGGAAGCTGAGATCTGCCAAGCCAGGCAGGAAAGTCTCTGAGACTCTTATCTCCAAGTAACAATCCAAAAGCCCAAAGTGGAGGTATAGCTCAACAGTAGAGCGTTAAACAAACAAACAAAAAACAACTCAGTGGCTGGGAAGGTGGCTCAGTGGTAGCGTGCTTGCCTTGCATGCATGAGGCCCTGGGTTCCATTCCTCAGCACCACATAAGCAGAAAAGGCCCGAAGTGGGGCTGTGGCTCAAGAGGTAGAGTGCTAGTCTTGAGCTGAAGAGCTGAAGAATAGCACCCATGCCCAGAGTTCAGGCTCCACACCGACAACAACAACAACTCAGGGACAGTGCCCAGGCCATGAGTTTAAGCCCTGGGACCTGCACAAGGAGGTCTGGGAGGAATAGCTGTTTGCCCACACCTGCGGCAATCTGTACCAGGACTACTGGCTCTGAAGGTTATGGAAGGCAAGACCCGATCCCAGGGCCCAAGACCACACCTGGGCAGTCCTTCAAGTTCTGACTGTATGATGGACTGGACACAATCCAGTATCACAGGTTCTCACAGCTGAGATCCAGGCCTTGAAGGGGGCCAAACTCAGAGCACTGGCATCGCTCAAGTCCCTGTCATCCACCCTGGGTCCCACAGGCCCAGTACCTTTAGTAACACAGCTCAGGACACCTCCGGAGGGCTCGCACACCTGGCCTGGCTTGCAGCTGTGGTCCTGGCACACCATACCCTCGCCAGCATGGCACACACACTTCTGCTGGCAGCCATTGAGGAGGACCGTCTGCTCTGGCTGTGGGGACAGAGGGCACAGTCATCTATGAGAGATGCAGAGGGGTCTGGCGGGCTGGCGCTCCGCAGGACAGTCCCTTGTCAGATATGAGTGCACAGTGTCGCTGTGGGCCTCGTCCCATTCACACACTCACTCCCTTGCACGCATTCACTCGCTCATGCATTGTGTAACATGCCCTGGGCAGCTGGGGTATCTGAACCCCAGAGTTGCACAGCAGAGAAGGCTGGAGAAATATGCCTGGGTTTGAGCTGGCTCTGCTATTTCCAAACTGCCCATCTTCTGGGTAAAATCACCTGACCTCTGCCTCCCCTTGGTTTCCTCATCTGTAAGTTGCAGATAATCCCGGTCCCGGATAAAGAAAGTAGAATGGAGTGGATATGTTTAAGTCCAGGTGGAGAAGGAGGAGGGGCAAAGGCCAAGGAAGACTGGGAAACTGCTGTGTGTGTGTGTGTGTGTGTGTGTGTGTGTGTGCGTGCACGTGCGTGCTTGAACTCAGGCCTCACATTCTCACTTGGCTTTTTTTTTGCACAAGGCTGGCTCTTTACCTCTCGAGCCACATCTCTGCTTCTTTTTGGTAGTTTAATGGGGATTAAAGTTTTAGGGAAGCTGGTGCCGGTGGCTCACACCTGTCATTCTAGTTACTCAGGAGGCTGAGATCCAAGGATTGTGGTTCAAAGCCAGCCCAGGCAGAAAAGTTTGTGAAACTCTTATTTCCAATTAATTATTCAAAAACCAGAAGTAGAGCTGTGGCTCAAAGTGGCAGAGCGCTAGCCTTGAGCCAAAAGAGCTCCCCAGGACCACCAACAACAAATAATCATAGAGACTTTTCTGCCCGAGTTGACTTTGAACCCTGATTCTCAGATCTGAGCCTCCCAAATATCTAGGATTACAGGCATGAGCCACCAGCTCCTGCAAGGTATATTTTCACCTGAGGAGTCAGGGAAGGGTTTAAAGATTCCAAACCCACAGACATATTTAGACGGGCCTTTCCTATGGCCCTGGGGAGGGTCATAGGATCACAGGAAGTACCAGTGGGAGCATGGGGGAAGCAAGATGGACCAAGACGAGGCCAGGCAAGGGGCAGATGGGAGCCATGTTCAGAAGGTGATGGGCGTTGAGGGCAGGGGTGTGTCTAGAACGAAGTCAGGCGCTCTGCCCTGGATGCGGAGGTTTCCTACCTTGTAGTAGGCCCCGTTGTGGTAACAGCCACACTCCTGGATGGGCACGCATGCTGTTCCGTTGTACAGGAAGCCGGAGTCACACTCACAGCCCTCTGCACAACCGCCTGGGCAGTGCGGGCTGGAGCTGATAGCCCAGCACCCCAGGGAGCAGGTGTCTGCGCAGAGCTCATAGTGGCTGTGAGGAGGGCACTTCATGGCTGTAAGAAAGGGGGTGCTGATGAGAACGCAGGGCATGCTTCAGGGCGTTGAGTCCACACCCTTTTTATTGTTGTTGTTGTCGGTCATGGGGCTTGAACTCTCGGGGCCTGGGTGCTATCCTTGAGCTCTTTTTGCTCATGACTAGTGCTTTACCACTTTGAGCCACAGCCTCACTTCCAGTTTTCTGGTGGTTCATTGGAGAGAAGAGTCTCACAGACTTTCCTGCCCAGGCTGGCATCGGACTGTGATCCTCAGATCTCAGCCTCCTGAGTAGCTAGGATGACAGGTGTGAGCCACCGGTGCCCAGCTTAAGTCTACACTCTCCTGTGCCTCGACCTCCCCTCTCCCCATCCCCTCGATGGATGCCCCCCTCTCCTCCCCACCCCGTGACTCACGACAGAAAGACTCCGTCCGCCAGGGTTCCACTTGACCTTCCATCGCCTGGCACGCGCTCACGTAAGCGTGGATGTGGTCACAGAGAATGCTCAGATTCCCACCGGCCTGGCAGAGATCGAACACACAGTCTTGCAGGGGACCCTGGGGATCAAGCAGCTGGTGGCAGGCAGCCAGCGGTCCCGTGGGCTTGGTGAGGAATCCACAGAACTCTTCGTTCTGGTACTGGCTCTCCAGCTCGGGGCTGCACTGGGCATTGCAGTCTTCTCCTGGTTTGCAATCGGGTACCGGCGCGCAAGGAGAGTCGGGAACTTTTTCTTCCCAGGAGTTACCAAACTCGTTGGGGTTGGCTGCTTGGGAGCCATCGGGCTTCTGCAGGTCATCCTTGGAGTCACCGTTGTAATCTCCACACAAGCCACACATCTGCTGGTAGTAGTTGCCTGGGATGGTGACCCTCACATTGTACATCAGGTCATAGGTCACCCGCAGACCAAAGTCGGTCTCTATCACCACATCGGAGCCATGCTGGTAGACATGGATCTGGCCCTCAGCCAACAGCACAGGCAAGTTCATGTCCACACCGTTCACCTGGGAGATAAAGGACAGCAAACGTGGTGGGGGTGGTCTGGCCTTCCAATGTCCCCTGTCTCATCTGCCCATGACCTCATCTCTCTTTTTCCTTTTTTTTTTGGGGGGGGGTCCGGTCGTGGGGCCTGAACTCTGGGCCTGGGTGCTGTCCCTCAGCTCTTCAGCTCAAGGCTAGCACTCTACCACTTGAGCCACAGCGCCACTTACAGCTTTTTTCTTTTTTGCTTATGTAGTGCTGAGGAATTGAACCCAGGGCCTCATGCATGCAAGGCAGGCGCTCTACCACTGAGCCACCTTCCCAGCCCGACCGTATCTCTCTTAACTTTAGTATATATATTTTTAGTGCTGGTCCTGAGGCTTGAAGTCAGGGCCTGGGTGCTGTCCCTGAGCAGTTTTTTTTTTTTTTGGTTGTTGTTCAAACCTAGTTCCCCACCCTTCTGAGCTCCAGCTCCACTTCCAGTTTTTTGGTGGTTCATTGGAGATAAGAGTTTTATGGACTTTCCTGCCCAGGCTGACATTGAACCATGATCCTCAGATCTCAGCCTCCTGAGTTGCTAGAATAATAGGTGTGAGCCACCTGCGCCCAGATGGTAGCCATATTTGTAAAAGATGTATAAATAGCCAGGCACAGGTGGCTCACACCTGCAGTCCTAGCTATTCAGGAGGCTGAGATCTGAGGATCTCAAACCCAGCCCAGGCAGGAAAATCCATGAGCTTCTTATCTCTAATCAACCCCCAGAAAACTGGAAGTGGCGCTGTGGCTGAAGTGGTAGAGTGCTTGCCTTGTGCTGAAGAGCTGAGGGACAGCGCCCAGACCCAGAGCTCAAGCCCCACGACCAACAAAAAAATAAATAAAATAAAAAAGTATAAATAGCTCCAATAATAGTATGATTAGCTGGATGCTGGTGGCTGACGCTTGTAATCCTAGCTACTCAGGAGGCTGAGATCTGAGGATTGAGGTTCAAAGCCAGCTTGGGCAGGGAAGTGTATGAGACTCTCATCTCCAATAAACTACTCAGAAAAAGCCAGCAGTGGTACTGTGGCTCAAGGGGTAGAGTGCTATCCTTGAGCATAAAGAAGCTCAGGGACAGTGCTCAGGCCCTGAGTTCATGCCCCAAGGCTGGCAAAAATATAATAATAATAATAATGCAGTGAGCCAGGTGCCAGTGACTCACACATACAATTCTAGCTACTCAGAAGGCTCACATGTGAGGATCACGGATCAAAGCCAGCCTGGGCAGGAAAGTCCATGAAACTCTTTTCTCCAACAAACAACCAAAAAGCTAGGGGGTGTGGTTCATGTGGTAGAGCACCAGTTAGCCTTGAGCAAAACAGAGTTAAAGGACAGTGGGGGCTGGGAGCTAATGCATGGCTTTTTTTTTAAGCACATCCCCCTTGGGGGGGTCTGTGTTCCCCTTTCCGATCCTCCCCCACCTGTGGTCCTCCCCACCAGGACCTCGCCCCTCCCCCTCCCCACTCACCGTGACCTTCCACTGTTGCTGCTCCAGCTTCAGGGTGTAATTGGCCACGATGACCGTGATGGCCTTGGTCACGCTCACTTTGCCATTGCCCCAGGCCTTGTTCTCCTGCAGGATGGTAAACTGAGGCAGGCCGGGCCGGTTCCCGCATGTCTGAGCCAGCACGTACACACAGGTGCCCATGAAGTCGAAGCGGTGGCCATCAAAGGTGGTGTAATGGGGGTCTCCTGACGCCTGGCACGTGGTGCTGCCCACAGCTACGCATCCCAGGACTCCATTGGACGGCTGGCAGGCCTCGTGGGGGCCGCAGGACGAGGGCTCACAGGACACCAGGCCGCCCTCTTGGCAGTGGCAGAGGGAATTGCACTCGGGGCCCGGGTAGAAGGTCTGGCCGGGTAGGTAGTACGCCCCCTCGTGGATGCAGCCGCAGGAGGACAGGGGCACGCAGGCCTCGCCGCTGAGTGCGTAGCCATCATCACACACGCAGCTCTCTTGGCATTCTGAGCCGCAGCCCCCTGACACGGGAAGGTCTCCACAGGACAACGGGCAGCCGTAGGAACACGGTTCGTAGTGGCTGTGGGGAGGGCAGCTCAGGGCTGTGGGGACAGGGGCCAGAGTCAGCCAGAATCCTTCAGCTGGGTGCTAGTGGCTCCCGCCTGTCATCCTAGCTACTCAAGAGGCTGGGATCCAGAGGATCGAGGTTCAGAGAGACAACTGTAGGAGATTCTTATCGCCAATGAGCTAGCCCAAAGCTGGAAGTGGAGGCGTGGCTCAAGTGGCTGATTGCCAGCCTGGAGGAGGAAAAGCCCACCTAAAGTGGAAGGCCCTGGACTGGGAAGGTAGCTCCGTGGTAGAGCGCTCGCCATGCATGCATGAGGCCCTGGGTTCGATTCCTCAGCACCACATAAGCAGAAAAACTAGAAGTGGTACTGTGGCTCAAGTGGTAGAGCACTTGCCTTGAGCTGAAGAGCTGAGGGACAGCACCCAGGCCCAGAGCTCAATCCCCACGACCGACCAAAAAGAAAAAAAAAAAGTGTAAGGCCCTAGCATTTAAAAATTATTGTAGTGAGCCGGGCGCTGGTGGCTCACGCCTGTAATCCTAGCTACTCAGGAGGCTGAGATCTGAGAATCGCGGTTCAAAGCCAGCCCGGGCAGGAAAGACCGTGAGACTCCTATCTCCAATAAACCACTAGAAAACCAGAAGTGGTGCTGTAGCTCAAGTGGTAGAGTGCTAGCCTTGAGCTGAAGAGCTGAGGGTCAGTCCCCAGGCCCAGAGTTCAAGCCCCACGACCAGATCCCCCCCAAAAAAATATTATAGTAGGGGCTGGGAATGTGGCTTAGTGGCAGAGTGTTTCCCTAGCATGCGTGAAACCCTAGGTTCCATTCGTCAGCACCACATAAACAGAAAAAGCCAGAAGAGGCGCTGTGGCTCAAGTGTTAGAATGCTAGCCTTGAGCAAAAGATGTTATGGGACAGTGCCCAGGCCCTGAGTTCAAGCCCCAGGACTGGCAAAAAAAAAAAGTTATTATAGTAGCTGGGCACCAGTGGCTCACACCTGTAATCCAAGTAACTCAGGAGGCTGAGATCTAAGGATCACGGTTCAAAGCCAGCCTGAGCAGGAAAAGTCCTAAGACTCTGATCTTCAATAAACCACCAGAAAACTGGAAGTGGCGCTATGGCTGAAGTGGTAAAGCACACTAGCCTTGAGCTGAAGAGCTCAGAGACAGCACCCAGGCCCTGAGTTCAAGTCCCACAACTGACAGAAATAATAATAATAGAATAAAAGTGATCAAAGTTATGGTAATGAATAATGGAAGGGCATGCTAGGTACTCACGACAAAGCTCCTCCGTCCTCCATGGGTACACAGTGGCCCCTGCAGCCTGGCACGCAGCGGCGTATGCGGCCAGGGCATCACACAACGGTCTGGACTGGCCCGGAAACAGGCAGCGGTCGTAGACACAGTCACGCAGGGCACCCTGGGGGTCCAGCTCGCTGTGACACTCCCGGAACGGCCCCTCGGGGTCAGCCAGGATCCCGCACTCCTTCTTATTCTGCAGCTGCTCGGCGATGAGCGAGCCCAGGTTGGGGCAGTCTCCCGGTTCCGTGGCTTCACAGCCCGGCCTGCTCTCCTCCTGCCAGCTGTTTCCGAAGGCCAGCGCGCTGGCAGCCTGGCCGCCACCTCGCAGGGCAAAGTCATCCTCTGGGTTGCCATTAAAGTTCCCGCAGAGCCCACAGAGGGCTTCGGCGTAACTGCTGGGCACTTTGGCGGTCACGTGGGCATCCCAGTTGTAGGTGACCGTCAGGCCAAAGTCTGTTCTCACCACGGCACGGTTTCCCTGGCGGAACACCTGCACTTTGCCGTTGGCTGCTTGGAAGGGCAGGTAGCGAAGGACGCCATCCACCTGGGCACAGATGCCAACTGGTCAGCGTATCCATAAGGCTGTGGCTCACCCCTGGCTCACTCGGCTCCAGCAATCCTCCCTCCCCTCTCCTCCACGGCCACCACCTTGCGATTCTCTTCAACACATTCTGCTTGGTCCTGCCTGCCTCAGGACCTTAGCACTTGCTGTGTCCTCTGCCTATCATCCCTCATCTTTCAAATGTAAAAGGGAAATTCAAGTCCCTAATTCCTGGTCTTCAAATCCTGCCTGGTTCTGTCTCCTCATTATTTGGCAGACCTTCAAACGTCCCAGACCTCAGGACCTTTGTCTGAAACACCAATGGCCATCGTGGCTGCTTTAGTTCCAGCTTTCAAGGCTCAGCCAAGCCCCAAGACTTACTGTACCCTGGGGTTGTAACATTTCCTCCCTCTTCTGCATCCCTAGTCTCCTCTCTAGCTAACACCATTCTGTTGCTCCTCATTCTTTAAACATTGAACCTTCCATCCAGGGTGCCAGTGCTCTCGCCTGTAATCCTAGCTACTCAGGAGGCTGAGATCTGAAGGTCTGGGTCAAAGCCAGCCTAGGATGGAAAGTCTATGAGACTCTTATCTCCAAATGAGCCACCAAAAAGCTGGTGTCATGCTTTATGCCTGGGCTGCTTGGGCAGTTTGGCCTGTGATCCTCCTGTTTTTGCTTAACCATCTCATGAAGCTGTGCACCACAGTGCCCAGTCATTGGGTTGAGATGAAGTCTTTCTAACACCCCACCTCATATCCCAGGACTGGCCTGGAGCCTGATCCCTCCATCGATGCTCCTCAGTAGCTAGGATTACAGGCTTGAACCACTCTGACCCACACTACTATCCCAGACTTTTTTCCCCCAGATCTTTTTTTTTCCCCTTTTGCCTGTCCTGGGGCTTGAACTCAGGGCCTGGGCACTTGTCCCTGAGCTTCTTTTGTTCAAGGCTAGCACTCTACCACTTGAGCCACAGTATCACTTCTGGCTTTAAGGAATGGAGCCCAGGGCTTCATGGATGCTAAGCAAGCACTCTACCACTAAGCCACATTCCTAGCCCACTTTGTTGTTGTTCTTGTTGTTATTGTTGATGTTGTTAATGATATTAATGATACTGGGACTTGAACTCAGGGTTTGGGGCACTCTCCCTTAACTTTTGTTGTTGTTGGTGGTGGTCATGGGGCTTGAACTCTGGCTGGGCGCTGTCCCTCAGCTCTTCAGCTCAAGGAGAGTGCTCTACCACTTGAGCCACAGCGCCACTTCCAGTTTTCTGGTGGTTTATTGGAGATAAGAGTCTCACAGACTTTCCTGCCCAGGCTGGCTTTGAACCGCGATCCTCAGATCTCAGCCTCCTGAGTAACTAGAATGACAGCTGTGAGTCACCAGTGCCTGGACCTTTGTTTTTGATCAAGGCTAGTGTTCTACCACTGGAGGCATAAACTCCATTTGTGGCTTTTGGGGGATTCATTGGAGATAAGCACCTCACAGACCTTCCTTCCTCAGGGCTGGCTTCGAACCTCCATCCTCAGCCAGTCCCCTGCCCACCTTGCATCACTCACCAGCACTTGACCTGGGTGCTCTCTGCGCACTTCCACAGTCACACCGTGGGCTTCCACCCGCACGGCCCGCGTGTAGCTCACGCTCTGGCTGCCTCGATGCTCATTCTCCACCAGCACCCGGAAGGCGGGCAGCGCCGCATTCTGCCCGCAGGCTCCCACCAGCAGGTAGGTACAGGTGCCCATGAAGTCAAAGCGCCGGCCATCGAAGCTGAGATAGTGTGGGTCCCCGGATGCCTCACAGCTGGCGAAGCTGTCCGGGTAGCAACCCTGGAGGCCGTTCTGGACGCGACAGCGCTCACCCGTGGGGCAGCCCTGCGTGTCCCGGCAGGTCACCTGCCCCGTGGCTCCATCGCAGGTGCAGCGACGCCGGCAGCGGTCATCTTCCCACACCTCCTCGCCCGCCACGAGTGGACGGCCCTGGAAGGTGCAGCCGCAGGAGGAGGCCGGCACGCAGGCCCCGCCGCTGGCCACGAAGCCCGGGAGGCACACACAGCCCTCCACGCAGGGCCGCTGGGAGCAGTTGGCCGGAGCCGCTTCGGAATTGCAGGAGGCCGGGCAGGCAGGGCTGCAGAGCTCGTAGCGGCTGTTGGCTGGGCAGCACAGGGCTGTGGGAATCAGGAGAGGTTGGATCAAGCTGGAGGAGAGGGCCTTGAGTTTCCCCCCCCCTCCCCAGGCTCTGCTCTGCTCACTATACAGTAGCCTTTTCTCCCTATCTGTCCAGACAGAAGAACCTCTAAAGAAGGAATCCTAGGTAGGGACTGTGGCGTAGTAGTTGAGTGCTTGTCTACCATGCATGAAGCCCTGGGTTCAATTCTTTGGTACGGCATACACAGAAAAAGCCAGAAGTGGTGCTGTGGCTCAAGTGGTAGAGTGCTAGCCTTGCGCAAAAGAAGCTCAAGGACAGTGCTCAGGCCCTGAGTTCAAGCCCCAGGACTGGCAAAAAATAAAAATAAAGGAATCCTATCAAGTCCTTCCTTTAATCTGCCTCCATCGCTCATTGGCCTCCTCTCTCTCACTCTACTCCATCTCCCTCAGACTTCTTCCTACCCCAGGGCCTTTGCAGTGGCTGTTCCCTCAGCCTGTATCACCTTTCCCTCATTGCAGCATGAGCTATATAGACTGTGGGAGTCTAGAAAGCCTGGCTTCAAGTCCCAGCTCTCCCCTGTGACCATGGGGCAACAGCTCGGCTCTCCATCCGCTCCGTGTCCCCATCAGTGCTGGGTGGTTGTGAGGGTTCACGGTTAGGGGCACTGCTGAATCCCCAGCTCCTAGGCCTAGCCCGGCCCTTGACAGATGACCAGGTGAGTTGAGAGTTGGATGAACACACTGGTGTCTCTTTGGTGCCAGATATAGAAGAGCCAGGATGGGGGAGGGGGCAGCATTAGTGCATGACAGAGACACAGCAACAATGCAGACAAATCCACCACAACCCCAGACCCTCCCCTGCTGGACCAGGAACTTTCTCTGCTGTCCTACAGTACCCTTTGGTGTCCCTCTTCCCGCTCCCAACTTCTCTGCTCGAGTCTCCTGTATGTATCCCCCAACTATAGGCTCGTGGTGGCAGAGCCGGGAAGGTGGGGGGAGTCATCATTATATCTTTCTTGGCACTCCCCAACATCAAGATGAAACCACAAGCCAGGCACTGGTGATTCAAGTCTGTCATCCTAGCTACTCAGGAGGCTGAGAGCTGAGGATCGCAGTTTGAGGCCAGCTAGAGGAAGAAAGTCACTAAGACTCTAATGAACCATCCCAAAGCCAGGGTGGGGTATAGCTCAAGTGGTAGAACCCTAGCCTTAAGGGGAAAATAAAGCCAAGCAAGAGCACAAGGACGTAAGTTCAAATCCTAGGACTGGCGCATGAGGGTTTTTTTGGTTTCCCCCCTACCATCCCACCACCATGCCCCTCCTCCCCCAAGGGGGGGGTCACTCACGGCAGTCTGCTTGCGGCCTCCAATTCCCAACCGAGATCCCCATCTCCACGCAGGCCTGGGCATAGGCGCTGAGCCCCCGGCACAGACTGAGCCGCTCTCCACCCGTCACGCACAAGTCGTACACGCAGTTCTCCAGGAAGGGCCGGGGGTCCAGGGACTCGTGGCAGGTGGCGAAGGGGCCTGAGGGCAGGGTGAGCATGCCACACAGCCGGTCCCCCTGGTAGTGCTGGGCCTGGCCCGTGGTGCAGGCCGGACAGCTGCCCTGACAGCCGTCATCACACAGATAGTCCCCGTCATCCAGCTTCCAGCTGTTGGCAAACTCCACGGGGTCGGGCGCCTGCGTCTCATCGGGCGTGAGGAAGTCATCGGCCGGGTCCCCGTTGTAATTGCCACACAGGCCGCACACCTGGCCTTGGAAGCGCTGGGGCAGGCTCAGGGTCAGCTGGCAGTCCCAGTTGTAGGTGACCACAAGCCCGAAGTCCAGCTCCACCACGCCCCGGGTGCCACTCTGGTACACACGCAGGCGACCCTGGTTCAGGGAGGCTGGCAGGCGCGAGCGCTGGTTGTCGATCTGCACACGGATGGGGGCGATCAGACACCTGTGTGAGTGTACCCCACTCTCCCCAGCCCAGCCTTGTACCTCTGCCCATCTACTTCTTCTGTTCCAACCACAGAAAAAGCTTTTTTTTTTGTCGGTTGTGGTGGGGCCTGAACTCTGGGCCTGGGCGCTGTCCCTCAGCTCTTCAGCTTAAGGCTAGCGCTCTACCACTGGAGCCACGGCGCCACTTCCAGCTTTTTCTGCTTATGTGGTGCTGAGGAATCGAACCCAGGGCCTCATGCATGCAAGGCAAGCACTGTACCACTGAGCCACCTTCCCAGCCCACTTTTTTTTTTTTGGTTGGTTGTGGGGCTTGAACTCAGGGCCTGCAGTGTTGTCCCTGAAGTTTTTGTTTGCTCTAACAATCTACCACTTAGAACCATAGAGCCACTTCTGGTTTTCTTTCTTTTCTTTTTTTTTTTTTTGTCAGTTGTGGACCCCGGGCGCTGTCCCCCAGCTTTTCAGCTGTAGACCAGCACTCTACCACCTGAGCCGCAGCCCCACTTCCCGCTTTTTCTGCTTATGTGGTGCTGAGGAATCGAACCCAGGGCCTCATGCATGCAAGGCAAGCGCTCTACCACTGAGCCACCTTCCCAGCCCCCCACTTCGGTTTTCTTGGTGGTTCATTGGAGATAAGAGTCTCCTGGCCTTACCTGCCCCAAGCTGGCTTCGAACCTCAATCCTCAGACCTCAGCCTCATCAGTAGCTAGGATAACAGGTGTGAGCCACCAGCACTCAACTCCTACTGGCTTTGTTTCTCCCTTTGACCCTTGCTTTTAACATTTGTAGAAGCTGGGGCTGGGAAGGTGGCTCAGCGGTAGAGCGCTTGCCTTGCATGCCTGAGGCACTGGGTTCGATTCTTCAGCACCACATAAGCAAAAAGAAAAAAGCCGGAAGTGGTGCTGTGGCTCAAGTGCTAGAGTGCTAGCTTTGAGCTGAAGAGCTGAGGGACAGCGCCCAGGCCCAGAGTTCAGGCCCCACGACTGGACCCAAAAAATAAAAAATAAAAAATAAATTGTAGAAGCTGATTTGGTGAAGGAAAGATTCAGATACTGCTAGGTGCCAGGGGCTCATGCCTGCCAGCCTAGCTACTCAGGAGGCTGAGATCTGAGGATCACAGTTCAAAGCCAGCCCAGGCAGGAAAGTCCAGAAGACTCTTATCTCTAGTTAACCACCAGAAAACTGCAAGTGGCATTGTGGCTCAAATGGTAGAGCACTGGCCTTGAGCTGAAGAGCTCAGGGACAACACCCAGGCCCAGAGTTCAAGTCCCACAACCAAAAATAAAAAAAAAAAGAAGAACAAGTTTCAGATAGTGAGTCTCCATTTGGGCTTCTCACTGAGGAGCTCATACCTCTGGGTGAAGCTGTGGCTCTTTCTCCTGCTTCAGACCAACAGCTCTGCCATCTGAAACCCCAACCCCTTCCAGGGGACACTCACCCTGGCGAACCCATTTTCCCCTCGGACCAGGGACACCGAGTGGCTGTAGGCATGCACAGTGACCAGGCCCACGTAGGAGACCTGGCGGCTGCTTCGGTGTTCGTTCTTGGCTTCCACGCTGAAGGCTGGCAGGGTGGAGTCGGAGCCACACAGCTCAGCCATGGTGTAGGAGCAGGTACCCATCATGTCATAGCGACGGCCATCGAAGGTGGTGTAGTGCGGGTCGCCCTGGGCGCGGCACACAGCTGTTGGCTCGGTGGGGCAGGAGGCCTTCCCGCCTGCCATCTGGCAGCGCTGCCCAGCTGCGCAGTGCACGCCCTTGCAGGACGGCTCTGCTGGGGGCAGCACAACTGAAGAGGGAAAAAAGTGTTCAGAAAAAGCATAAAGGGGCTGGGAAGGTGGCTTAGTGGTAGAGTGCTTGCCTAGCATGCAGGAAGTCCTGGGTTCGAGTCCTCAGTTCCACATACACAGAAAAAGCCGGAAGTAGTGCTGTGGCTCAAGTGGTAGAGAACTAGCCTTGAGCAAAAGAAGAAGCTAAGGCACAGCTCCTAGGCCCTGAGTTCAAGCCCCAGGACTGGTTAAAAAAAAAAAAGTCCATGAGCCATGTGGCTCATGCCCAGCTACTCAAGAGGCTGAGATCTGAGGATCAAGGTTCAAAGCCCAGTCCAGGTAGGAAAGTCAGTGAGACTCTTATCATCAATGAGCCACCAAAAAGAAAAAAAGAAGCTACAAGTAGAGCTGTGGCTCAAGTAGTAGAGTACTAGCCTTGAGCAAAAAGGCTGAGGGAAATAGCCCTTCCTGGTCAGATGTCCTCTCAAAAATTCCTCAGTTCTGGGGCTGGGAAGGTGGCTCAGTGGTAGAGTGCTTGCTTGCATGCATGAGGCCCTGGGTTCGATTCCTCAGGACCACATAAGCAGAAAAAGCCGGAAGTGGCGCTGTGGCTCAAGTGGTAGAGTGCTAGCTTTGAGCTGAAGAGCTGAGGGACAGCGCCCAGGCCCAGAGTT